CCTGCATGATATTAAATATTTCCGCAATTACTTAGACTTAGGTAGTTTGAACTGTCCTGTATACTTTTCGGACGCCTTATCGTTTATATAATTATAGTATTCGAGAAAAGTCGAAACAATTTTAAGACAGAAATTAGCGCACTGAACGAACTATACGAGATTTATTTCATGTTCAACAGCAACGCTGTGTTTGACTGTAAAACTAAACGCAAAACAACGCCTTGCATGGTTTATTGAAAATAATTAAATATTTACTAACACTCATGCAGAACTATAGCGGAGGTTATATATACGTCAATATATAGTATACCAATTCTGGAATATATGCCTCTACGATCTGGGAGATAAGAACAATCAGGTTCTCATGAATTCTCTATTGTTTATATTATAGATATTGTAAACACGATTTAAGGCAATTAGCCGTTCCTTTACTAAACTAAAGGAGTGCTAAATCGAACTGCCTGACGTGTTCACTAAAGATTGGAACACTATTCCTAAAAACATTTGCTGGTTTTAGACAAAAATGATGGTAAACAGAAAATTTAGGGCACTTTCTCCCTCCCTTCCAAGGTTTAATTTCTGCCTTACTTAATTTTACTAAATAAATCAGTTTACACGAAATGAAGCCACATTGCATGCACCATTAGTTTTGAAAAGTATATGCATATAGGTTAAAATCTTACTGATAGCATAAAGTCAAGACTTGATACACTTTAATAGTCGACCTTGAATTTTCATAATTTGGGCAAGTTGGATATAGTGCTATAGGGTGGTATACCACCTTATATATAGTGATTCTACAAGGCAATTAATTAATTGGTTATTTTACCCATTGATATAATTATGGTCAGACATGATACGATAGCCTATATGTATATAGTTATTAGATCTTGATATAAAAACCAGAAATTGCTTCTACTAATTATGTTATCGCAGCCATAACTACAAAATATAGTTAATTAAAAGGCTTGAATCCAGGTTCACAATAAACAACATACAAAGTATAGTGAATGATACATTTTCTGCATGGGGCACCTTGTTTGCACGAAAGGCCATGACCAAAAATTGACATAGCTTGCCTTTGCCATGTAATAAACAATTAGTTGTACGATATTTTTATGTGCATTCTTCTTTTAATTAAACACCGAGCAAATGTTCTAATCAAGTTAATAATTAATAAAAATATATTGCCCATCAGGCCATGATTTGTTTGGCTAAAAGTGGAAAAGAAGCGCTAAAAAAATCACACATGTAGCCTATTACTTATAAGCCTATAGAGTAATTAAAATTTGCCGCACATTCTAGTAAAAAAGATCAAACCCACCTTTATATTTAACAACATATAATATACGTCAGCATAATAAAGCTGTTGAGTAAGACTGAAATTTGTTCCAACAAATTAAATTTCGGGAATTCTTTTATAGTGCCTATAACTCTGATACACTTGTTGTCTTGTTTCAAATCAGGACTTTGAAGTTGAACACATATGTCAGTCTATTAGTATTAATACAGAATAATATTAATAGTAGTTGAAATCAAAGCTATACTGAAACACATATACTTTATAACATAGGCCTACGACGAAAGTACAAGTGAATACAAAACGGCTTTCGTTTATTTTCTTGTATATATAACGTACCCATGCATGCAAGCTTGTTTTCGTGGGTGTATACGTAACCGCGCGGTGGTGTTTTTTTGTTACTATACATGGAAAACTACTTCGAATCATCAGTCAAACTTGTAACAGAGCTTGTAAAATAGCAGTCTTTGTCTCGTTGCACGCAAGTGTCTCACTGAACATATTTTGAATAGTTTAAAGAACTGCATATAGGTCCATTCTAGATTCAAAGGAAAAGCGGAACATGCGTGTAGGCCTATACTGACCAAATTTGTTCAGGTTACAAACAGTAGGTGAACTACATGCAGAAATAGTCTATCCGATTCTTCTTCATTATCATTTTTATTCTATTTATTCAAAATAGTATATTACTGTGTCTGTGACATATAGGAGTGCATGCTTGAATAATATGAATTAGTCGTGTAAATGTTGCATGCGATGCAAACCTTAAATTTATGCACTTTAAAGATTGCTGCATGTTAAATCAAGAAACAAGAGACAATATACTATATAGTGACCTGATGCTTTAAAATGCTAGAACAAAACAGGTTAATTTAATTCTTGCGCGATTTAAATGGAAGATCTTTTGCAAAAAATGCAGGTTCGTGAACTTACGTTCGTTCTGCATATGCATATATATATAGCCGGGTCTGTACTGTACGTGTCTGTACCTACTCGTCTCGTGTTTCAGAATTAACGCTTATTTCAAGGCTTATTTGGATGTGGTGCTTATTATGTTGGCACTCAGTGCACGCAAAGTTCGCTCTGCCTTTGAACGGTATAATGCATGCACATTTCCAAAGTAAAATGACAGAGTCGGAGCAGCGGTAAATTTAAACCGAATTAAACAAGAAAGCATTCAGTGAAATATACTTAGATTCACTTTACACTTATATATCTGGAGAAAAATTTCCAAGGCTGATATTGGTGCATTGAACAAAAGAATTATGTGTTTTGGTTTGCCTTCTCGAATAATTCTGTCTGACGGTGATTTCATTAACCCATTATATTGAACTATAAGCATTAACCACGTCAAGTTGCTGTGAATAAGTGCGGCGCTTATACGTGAGAAGCGCCCTTTGGCTTTGACTTTGGTGACTTTACTCTCGAATGTCATCCGGCTCCGACACTAGAACCGCTTGCGTCGGGTTCTTTTGCGAACTCATAACTTCGGTTTAAGTTTATGCTACTTAAAGTAAATTGGAATACCAGAGTCAGAACGCAGAACACGGAATCGTATAATTTGGTTTTGTGAATTATTATTGATGAAATTACAGTTGAATCGCACTTGAAATTATTAATTCGATCTAAGAAATAAGAATTAACAAATATATGTAGGTAAATAAAAAATAAGTTACATGCATGTGCTCTAAATATATCTCTGTTTATTATTTACGTTTACTCTTACTTCTTTCCAACACTCGCAACAGAGAAAAACAACGTTTACACAGAAAAGTGCTTCACATGAAGACTGAATATCAGTTCATATTGCAGCCTCAGTCTTTCTTTAATTAAATGTCAATCAAAGTATAGTTATATAATTATTTGTTTAACATTTTTATGCTGTTGTGATGTTTTAACCAATTGCAAACGTTTTTGTGCGGACAAATCATTTTTGAAGGAGATTAATGAAAATGCAGTGTATAATTATAAACATGCAGTTATTGAATTTGCTTTTTGTGATACCCTGAATTATCAAGGACAAGGTCTCTATTAAACGTCCTCGACTCTTTAAAAGTTGGTAGCTTTCCTGGACCTTTTTAGAAACCGTAAACAAATCATTGATGAACTTGGATTATTCCAGGGTGAAATTGATGTAAACAATGTTGTTATTTTGAATAAACATATTATGCAAACAGGACATGGATATTAGACATTTGGCACGCATTCCTAGCTGTTTATCAAAATCAGTGATAGAGAATAATTATTCATCTCGTAGTTCCTGTTGCCCACACAAATAACCACCACGCGGGGCAGGTGTAACTCTGTATCCGCTTTAAAAGCACATGCATGCACATTGATCCTTAATTGTATCCCACAGGAAATGTTGACGGAAATTGACCTGGAAAGGGCAGATATCAAACTTCGGTAAACCCACGTTTTACCAAATCATTATTGGTAGTGCTTATTATTTTATATACTGGAAAAGTACACTATTCATCAAGTAGATAACATTTTGCCGTTCTCTATTCCGTAAAAGCCCATTTACACGATACTAGCCGTACGTACACGATTGCCATTCTGCCATTTCTGGCGTATAAAAACGACTGAGGACGCTACCGTTCCTGTTCATAAGTTCATGGCGTAATTTGAAATGTGACATCTTTACATGTTTTTATTCGAGTACATACGCCAGGATAAGCATCGTATACGACTATAGTTGTATCGTGTACAGTAGATGTGCCTTAATATACACAGATGACGTCATATATAATAACGTGATAAAAACAAACTATAAAGTGGCCAACATATGCCAGGCCCGGAATGGCCAATGATGTTGTTATGACGTCCTCTGTGTATCTACACGGCACCTGGACAGACAACAGACACTGTTAACGAAATTTGAAATAGCTCAACAAAGCTCGTGTGAAACTTTTTGAGCGCCATGATCCGTATCATGATTATAGTTTGTGTGCTATACTTAAAGTTCCGTGACGAGTTAATAAATTTAAAGATCATGGAATGAATTGATTATCACCGACTCTCAAGAAAGCACTTGCTGAACTGATATTTATTTATTTCGCATGAATATCTCTATTCACAACATATCAGTATTTCTCCATACGGAGAAACATGTAAATCATGTTTAATTAATGCCATAATACACTTTAGTTTTGTACTGAATTTTAATTTCATCTATCATGATTCTGAAATCTGAATTCCCTGCAAATTTTAAGGTTGAATATAGCCTTTAGTGACAATTTCAGGCAAAATCAGTTTTTCGTTCATGCCTTTAAACTTAACTTAAGTCCACTGAAATGAAGAAGTGACAAAACACTTTGAAGAACAACATTTCTCAAGTCGAAGACCTATACTAAGGGTACACTGCAACACAACTGCGATTTGTACCGCGCAGAAAATATATTGTATAATGTATAATCACCCACTATATTCATGCAACATTCAACCAGACTAGTCCGCCTATAAACATTCAACCAGTCCGCCTAGTGATATGCATGTAAACAGTGTATATCAAGTGAAAACACGAAACTGATATATCAGTGAAACATAATATTCGGATATTGATTATTGTATTCAAACACTCGCCCTCTACTCCCACTTCCATACGAATACTTCCATACCCACTTCCATACCAATCTATACGAATAGATTTACTCAAATTTTTCTGTTTCAATGTGCGCCGACATTTTAAAGACAGTTACGACATAACTCATAAGATAGATAAACATCTACATATTTTAATGTTTTATCAGTACAATTAAGTGTTAAACTATTTAGGAATAAAGGAGAGTTTATTAACAGTATAAATGACCTGGAAATTTTCACACAAAATTGTGGCTGCAATAACTATTCTCCAACTTTTTTTTCTCGTTCTAACATTTTCTGTTCCAAATTTTTAAGTTCTTTATGTAAGTTCGCATTTTCATCTTCAAGTTCCTTCGTTCTGTTTTGAATCCAAATAAAGTGTGCTCTCTTTGCTTCCCGCGATCTTCTTGCTGCTTCGTTATTACTAGTTCTTCGCTTCCAATATTTTTCATCTTTTTGCTGTGCAGTTGTTTTCTTTGAACATAAGTTTTTAGATTCGTTGGGTACTTTGGGGTTAGCCTTTGCGTAGTCCGTGTTACTTTCACGCTTTATTGACGCTAGCTCCGAGCCAGAATTCACTGCTTGGTTGTTGACAGTGTTGTTGTTTTCATCAAACGAGAGAGGTATCATGCTATATGTTTCAGGATCCAAGCTACCTTTGAGCTTCTGAACAACGTCATTTTCATCAAGTGAAGTTGCCACAAGTACTAAATTTACTCTCTTCTCTTGTAGTTTCTGAAGTAACTGACAAGAAACTTGACGTAGGTTTAACTGTGACTTCTTGTCCCCTTTAAGGCCTGATAAATCTTGATCCAACGCTGAGTAGCCTATAGTTTCATTTGCAGTTGGCTCTTCATAATGTTTTTGTAATATTTGATCAAAATGATCGAGTTCTGAATGAATAAAGTAATTATTACTATGCGTACCAAAGAATTCTTGATTCAGTCCTGTACTTTTACCGAACGCTCCTGGAAGTTTTTTCTTCAAGGTTTGATAGGAATCCAACGTGAAGTTGCCAGCGTTTTCAAAGATACACTCACCCATATTGTCACTGCTTTGTTTCTGAAATGAATATTGGTCTGTATGTTAAATGAATATATACGCACCAATATTTTGCTGATTATACCGTGTAATTTTTTTACTTGGTATACTCAAGCGAAGTACTTCCGAGGGCAAAACTATTATGACGTCATTCAATTTCAAAACCTTTCATGATTAAGTATAAGGACGAGTAAAGAACAATATTCAATAAGAGTTTGAATATATTTAATACCAACGCACTTACATAATATTCAGTGGCGTATAGCCAGCCCGATAATTTAGTCCCGCTATGCAAATTCAAAATTACTAACATTATTCATTTCTTCAGAAATTGATTGTTTCAATGAACACGAAAATATGTGCATAGCGGGATTAAATCGTCGGGCTGGCTACGCTACTGATAATATTAATACTGTATAGTATACTTTATAAAATAGTTTGGGTTGTCAAACGTAGCGGGTCATGAGACATAAGTATTAGGTCAAGGACACTAAAGATATAATACTTTATAGTCTCGCGATTTTCAATTGTTTTCAATATCACATGTGGCTCGTATCAATCGTATGGCCTATCGCGCAGGAGGTTCCTGTATAATGAGATACATAAAGCCTCATTTATAACAGTATTGCGTAAAGTACCATGTCAGAACGCGAAGACTAAACTATAATATACGCATTTCATGTTTAAGTGCATGCATGCAGAGTATAGCTATACATGCAGTATATATGCTCGACGATCTATGATCTATCTATTATTTAATACTCAAATTACCGCAAAAGCCTGTTTCAAATATCTTGTCATAGCAATCGCCGTTAATCAAGGTTAATTAATCAAGGGCGCTGGAACTGTGGGGCAAAAAGAGCGACTGCGGCCTCTCTTGATCTTTGCCAATATTGGAGCATGGGGGAGGGAAAGAGTTTTTTTGCCTTGTTTTGATTTTAAATATTGCATGCGTCTTGTGTGGGGCTGCAGGAACGGTGGGGCAAGAAGGTAGGTTGTTTCTCCTGCACTTTACTGTGCTTGACTAGCAAACAGTAAGGGTTCTCTGTTGAGATTTCGTTATAATTTGAAATATAAGATTCTTTATCACTCTTTTTTATTTAGAACTGTTAATAAAGTTTTCTTCTAAATATTTGTTGAAATGCACTACCTCATCTGTTTTGAATAGTTGTTATCAGAAAAGTAAGGACTTTGATAACAAGATAACGTATTAACTTTTTATTTTTATATATCTGATCGGATAATTTAACAGACAAATTCCGCGTATCTAAATTATACAAATCTATAGCTGAAATTGAGAAAATATTTAGCTTATAGATCAGATAGCCGGCCATAGATAAGATAGCAAATAAATAGGTAAAATTAATGTTTATTCGTTATACTAGAAGTTACTATCTCAACGTAAGTGCTGCCTCACCCCCAAGGGATCAAAGGCAGCATGCGCAATTTGCTGAATAAGGGGCTGTTTATATGATCCCGCTTTGCCAGGACGAGATATGAGGCGGGATAATTTCGATGTATTGAAATAATTCACGGCGCACGATTCAGCCAAAAACTTCATTATTTTCTAGGGATAGATTGTATAAACGAAAGGTTGTTCAAGCAGCAATAATAATCTTCTTGAACCACAAGATTTTCTCTACAACATTTGAGTTCTATTAACCAGCATTTGAACTTTCCTTTACTCTGGTGACTTATTTCAATACAACAAAATCATCCCACCTTCCATCATGCAAATAGCCCCTAAGACACCTGTTCAGCATGTAGGAAAAGTGCAATTTGAACATCAAACACCTTGCACAAAGTCGAAGGTGAGCTAAATATTCTAATTCTACTTTCTTGACATGGGTGGTTTTATATGAATACCTTCAATGCTTATAATTTCTTGCTTTTGTATGTATAATATTAATTATAATACTGGTGAAGCTAGCCATAGCAACAGGTCATGCCATGCAATTAGTTTTTAAATGTTCGCATTATTCGAATAGATGTAGGTTTTATTAGCATAGCATGACAAGTTGCCATGGCTAGCTTGCCACTGAATACTGTACAGTATCCTATATATAAACAATAATGAAGCATTGGACATATAGAATTTAATAACAACTTCATATAAGTAGAAATACTAAGTCGGTTTTTGTCCCAATTATCGTTTTAACGGCACCTTCAAGGCTACCCCAATCGCAGAACAAGTGGACAATCTGCTGATAGGGAGACAAAATTTATTTTATCAGCTTCAGATGACACCATTCATATGTAATGAGTAAGATTGTACTCAGTCAGAACTGCAAAACTATGTAATAAGAAATAAATTGTGAGCATTATCGAAAAATATAGTATACCCTGAAATGTAGTGACACTGCATGGGATTATTTAATATTATACTAACAATGGACAGATCTCAGAGATATATACTTTTTACAGACCGTCATACCTTGTACAAACGTCTGTTGACATGCTATTACATGTAACTGCTGGGTTGCTATTATTAAGACGTGCATACACAGCATTTTTGAAGCGTGCTGAAAGCACATTTAATTGGCACATTGTATTTTTAAACCAACTCCCCCCCCCCTATGGAGGACAAGTGAATAAAAAATGAAGGAATTTCCATGGGAGGGTCCACTTTGTAAGGCAAATCTGTGGAAATTCCACAGGGTAGATATAAAAAGTGACTAAAACAAGGCATGCGCATAGCTACTAATCAAGAAATACTAAATAGGGAAATTCCACTAACTAGGTCAGAAATTGTCAAGGAATTTCCATGGGATGGGTTAGCAGTTAAAAAAAAGTTGGGAAAATTCCACAGGCCAGTCAGGCAAAAAATCACTAAAAATCTGCGGAAATTCCAAAGGAGGGGGACCAAAAAATGGATGTCCTCAATATGGGGGGGGGGGCGGGTGGTGCTGGTTTAAAATTGCAATGTGCCATTGCTATAAACATCTAGAATGAACACTATAAACTCATCGCCTTGGCACATCGCTAATATACTAAAAGTACATTTTGACTCCTTGTATAAATATTATTAAATATAAAGACGATCAGTGGGCTATTAAAACAGCCGATAAATTCATGAAATCATATTATTTCAATACCTCTATATCGAACACTAAACAGCAGATCTAAATATAAATGCCTTCATGTATATTACCAGAAAGAAGAAGGTTAGGTTAGGGTTAGGGTAGGACAAATGTTACATTGCAAGATAGTAACACATAATATATATATTTGCGATAGATGAACCAGGCGGAAATCGTAATCTTAATGCCCAGCATAAAATACGTAAAAGAGCTATAACAAAAATAAATATTTTAAACTATATTTTTTATGGCTCTTTTACGTATTTTATGCTGGGCATTAATATTTATCATAATATATATTTTTTAATCATATATGGTTGAATCATATTCACCAGAGTAAAACATCATGAGCTAGATTAAACAGATTGTCCTAATATCTAACTTTACCTGTAATGCACACCTGTCAGTTCATTGCTGTTAATTTTTCAATCCACAATGGGGGGGAGCAGAAAAGTTTCTATTTTCATGAGGGGGCGGGGGTACAAAAAGTTTGCCTTCAGTCTGAGGGGGGAGGGGGTCAAAAAAGTTTTCAATCCTTATTTTCCCCATTTACTAACCCCCCTCCCCATAAATAATGACCATTCTTTAAAGCCATCCTTACCTTAATTATTGAAAATATTGTCGATCGTTTGCATCGTGAAAATCCGACATGTACACACTGCATGTAAATAAGCTCGTACAGTAACTGAAATCCTGAGAAGAATCATGCGTGTGCAATACAAAATAAAGTGTGACTGCCACCATCGTTTAAAAAACTTCCCGAAGCCTTAATTATTTCCCCGGAATTACGACATTTTTACAGACAGACACAAATCGAAATCTCGGCTATACATAACTCGGCCAAAGAGACAGGACACAAGAAAACGCAATATGAATGTTAAGTATTGTGTGCTGTCTTCGGCACCAAATACGTCGCATAGCCCCCTTTAATACTTTTTATAGTCCCCTTCATGTGAAACGACACTCCACGTTCTAGTGAGTGGATGCTCTAACCATTGAGCTATCGCAGACTCTATGGCGAGCATGCAAGAGGCCATGTGGTCTTGGTAGATCAAAATCCACATCACCCTTCATGCTCAACACAGACTCTCTAAAAGCTCAGTCGTTAGAGCATCCGTCCACCACGTGGAGGGTCGAACCTGCATGGTCGTGGGTTGTGGATTCAAATCTGACTCGGAGCTTAGGACCTTTCTGGGTTACTTGTGGTGATTTCCCTTCCTTAGCTTCGTTTCTAATAATGTCTTTCTTAAATGTTATTAAGGAAAAAATTACTGTTCAACAATCTGGAACGATGGGTCTTGCTTGATAATTGATAAATTATTTAAATTACAAAAGAGAGCTGCGCGTGTGATAACTGGGGACACGTACGATGTTCGTTCCACACAAATACTAAATAATCTTAATTAGCTTCGAATTGAGGAACTTTAAAAAAAACGAGAAGTAATAATGACATTCAAAGCATTAACTGGTCGATTACCTCAATATCTTGAAAAACTGTTTACAAGATGCCAAAACAACAATTACAATCTAAGAAGTAATCAAACTGAATTGGCGCTTCCCAAACCTAAGACAAATCTCCTCAAAAGGAGCTTCTCGTATAGAGCTGCGAAATCATGGAACGAACTTTCAAGTGAAACCATCGAAAATCACAATGAACTATCAATCTTATCGTTTAAACGGCGATTATATAATTAGGTATAAAATTGATGCTGATAATACTGATATTTTGTAAATAGTCTTTATTTATTTGTCTCTCTATATTTTGTATTTCATAGCTTAGTGTATTGACGGATACACGGCCCTTTGAAAACCAGTTTTGTAAATAATTATCCACTGAATAGGCTACCGTGTGTAAAGAATTTTAATTAAAGATTAAAAAAGACCCTTTTGAATGCTGGTCACGATGGAGCCACGTGGATGCCGATTACTAGGGAGGAGGGTAATATTTGCGTAAATGTAAATCGTATCTTTTCATCAATATTTATAACACCTGGCTTCCGAGTGAGAGTATACACTGTATCATCCACAAGAAAGTGTATAAACAAAGTGTAAACAAAGTATAAACAAGGCAAAGTGTAAACAAAGCAAGAACTGAAAGCATTTAAAATTTGATGACTCAAACATCGCGTATATCTTTTGATCAGTTAATCTGCTCCCTTTTATTTCCTGGTGCTACTATTCAGTAGATGCATGTACGCCACAGCGGACCTATGTTTATTAGTTGCCACGAAATTAGTTCAATCATACAGTTCGCTCTTGGAAATAATTGAGTTTTAATTCTATATTAAGCTTTTTTAATATAAATTAGGGCAATTTAAGAGGCAAATGGAAAGCCTTATATTTCATCATTTCCCATCTTATGTCTGTTCTTGTTATTTCTTTAAAGTAAAATTTTAAAAATCGCTTTACAGCTCATTGTATGAAACGACTTTCCCATATATTTTTATTCTTTTCAACCGGTAGTTGACTCATTCTACTCTTGGCCATATTTTTAGATCAGTGAGATGACCACCCACTGCCCACTACCCCACATAGCCTTCCTTTTCCCAGGTGTAAATAGCCGTGCGGAATTAGTACCCTCGCCCCGGGATTTCGCCCGGAACGGCGCTGGCTCGGAGATAAATATATATAACAGGCATTTCGTACAATATTTTGCTAACTGAGTAGTGTTGCATGGACGTTTGTCTTGAATAGAAAATTTTGGACAATGGGCATTGGAAATTTACAAGCTTTTTCAGTGCTCATCATATCATATTCATCTCGGCAAACAAGGTCTGTCACAAGCGAAGTAGAGAACATATCATATAATATTTGTCCCCTAAGCCAAGGAGACGTTTTGGTAAATGGTAAGCAGGAATAAATTTAGAGGACCTTAGACTTAATAGTTTTCTTATGTGTTATTCCATACGTATGAAATGAAATCGCGGACAAAATATTCGACTCGTCGTGTCGTGTCTCCGAGTCTCGATTCGACTAGTCGAATGTCGGGTTCGACTCGTCAAATGTCGGTTTCGACTAATTGACTATCCCGTTTCGATTCGTCGTGTCGACTCGTCGTGTCTCGACACCTCAACTGTTGACGCGCCGAGTCGGGTCGAGCCTTTGCTTCGACTCGTCGTGTCCCTCTTCGAGTCGTCGTGCATGCTGATTTTGACAGCGTGATCGACTCGTCGACTTTTGGCGTATTGTAAAATGGATGATGGATTTAAGTGAAAGCACTCACATTTTCCCGCTCTTATACCCTGAAATGAAATACTAAAACCTCGAGGTCTGAATTCGTATACAGATATTATTTAATAGTTGTCTTTTTAGTTCTAAACAAAAATAGATGAGCTAAAAACATTTTAAGGACAGCATTAAGAACTGTTGAAGAGATAACATCGACAAATACACCTAAAAGGACCGAAATATCCGTCAATAACGGCCAACTCAGAAGCTACTGTCACAGTGTCACTGGTAAGTACACCACGAACTAGAACATCGCCATTGGTTGGTAGGACACCACGAAGAGGTAGTCAATTTATCCCTGGTGTTCTGTGACCCCCGTCCGCGATCATATCAGATCATGTCAGCGGCATCTAGTAAATTACTTAAATAACATCGCCCGAAGTTCGAAGGTTTTACTCAAAATTCCAAGGGAATTTTACAACTTTGGAAAGTGGAAATATTTACCACCAAAGAACAAATATGACTGGTTTATACTAGTTTATTTTGTCTAAAAATACATTCCCATGTACATGCAAATTAATACATCCTCTGAGAAAATTCACAAACTAACCTCTCTGAAATTAGAGGTCCTTAACGTGTCTAGAAAAACAATAAATGCCATGCCATACCATCACAATATTTTATACTAAATGTGAGCGGATCGTTTTATTCATATTTAGATTTTCTGCATTTGTACTTCAACAAGTGCCGGTGGCGTGTTTGTTTAGGGCGTTGCGTGCGATCTAACATGCTGCTAATTGGTGGTTCGATTCCTGCAATAGCCAATGTTTTGTTTTTCGTTCTCATATTTTTTTCTTTACGATTTTTCCTAAGATTGCCTTTATACAATACCTTTTGGTTAGATTAGAGTTAGGGTCACTGTTTTTTAAGTGTATTATATTCAATTAAAATAATATATTTACTAATTAATAATCGGCGTGCGAATTCGAATTGTATTAATTAATGCTAAATGCTGAGCCGCTGACATGATCTGATATGATCGCGGACGGGGGTTACAGAACGCCCGGGATAAATTGACTAACCCACAAAGAACACAATCTTTGCTAACATCGCCAACTCTATTATCAGCTGCTTTGCCTGTTGCTCAGTCCGAGGCAAATTTCAGGTATCGTTAGAACATACCGTGAATCTCCGATTTATTGATAAGCTTATGCAAAACAAATGTAAATCCAATCGATAACATTTTTATATTTATCAACGTTTCGACTATATTTCAGTCAGTGGAAACGTCGATAAATATAAAAATGTTATCGATCTTTGGAGTTACACTTGTTTTGTATTTTGTTAAATACTTAGTGGTTCTAAAAATTTTTGGTACAAGCTTATATTGACTATATATTCTAATATTCGTACGGTATGTTCTAGTAAACGTTTCTATATACTATACAATACCTGAAATTTGCCTCGGCCTGGGCAACAGGCAAAACAGCTGGTAGAGTTGGCGATGTTAGCAAAGACTGTGTTCTTCGTGGTGTACTACCAACCAATGCGGGCGATGACGATGTCTAGTTCGTGACAGTAACCTCTGAGCTGGTTCACGAGTTATTGGCGATGTTTCGGACCTTTCGTTCCCTTTTAGGTGTATTTGTTGATGACTCGATGTTACTTCTTCAAGAGTGCTTATAAATGCTGTCTTTAAAATGTTTTTAAGCTCATCCATTTTTGTTTAGAACTAAAAAGACAACTATTAAAGAGCAAGTAAGGGACCGTTCATTTTTATCAGGAGGGGGCTGGTGGTTTTTGCAGGGGGCCACCAGAAAAAATAGCGATGTGAGAGGGGGGTCATCTCAGGAAAATTTTAAGGGGGCCACCAAAGCATCAATGAATACATAATACATAAAAATCAAAGTAATCAACTTTCATACTCTTTCATTTATAAAAACTTAAAGCAAAGTTTTAGTACATGCATCAGTAGTCAATTTAAATTTAAAGTACACATGAACGCAATTTATTTTCTAAAACGCAATTTATTTTCTTAGAAAAAAGCTTCATCTGAATGGCTGTTGATTAAAAGTTACTGGACGTGGCTGCATTGAGTATTAAGGCAATGCAAATCAGTTTTCTTTTGTTTCAGTTTTGCAAATATGCACAAAATTGTCACTTCCGGTAACTTTATTAAACAGCCAAAAAGACAATGAAGATGAAGTTTTGTCCTATTATAAAATGAAATATTTTGCTTTACGATTGCTTATCTTGTGATGGTTGGGTAGGGCCTACCATGACCAAATGTTCCAAGACTATACCCAGGTTATTTATGTAGGGAGATCACCATGGCCACCGAAAGGTTGGCGGGGGCCCAGTGCAAATTTTTTTTTCGGGCCACTATTTAAAAATTTTTTCCGGAAAATATTTTTTTGGACAACAACCTCCCCCCGGACGAGTACGTTGCAATTGCTTTCCAGGGACTTTATTTCAACTTTTCATACCAAATTTCGATACATAGCCCAAATCTTGTCCTTTGCGCGGAAATATTTAACCCACAAAAATGACTGGGGCCCAACAAAAAAATTCCCAGGGGCCCCCCAGCACCTCGGGGCCCGGGGCAATTCCACTGCTCCACCCCCTCTCGGCGGCCCTGGAGATCACGGGAAAAAATACTGGAGTAGAAAGGTGGCCACAGGAATTTTCCTGCATCTGTTGGGGGGTCGAGACGAAATTATTAATGAAAGCGCCCAAAACCACCAGCCCCCTTCTCCTGATAAAAAATGAACGGCCCCTAATATCTGTATACGAATTCAGACCTCGAGGTTTCAGTATTTCATTTCAGGGAATTATAAGCGCGGGCAGCATTTCAGGGAATTATAATTTAAATTCATCATCCATTTTACAATACGCCGTCAAAATCAGCCGCGGTCAAAATCAGCACGAAGAGGGACACGAAGAGGGACTCGAAGAGGGACTCGAAGAGGGACTCGAAGAGGGACTCGAAGAGGGACACGACGAGTTGAAGCAAAGGCTCGACACGGCGCGTCAACAGTCGACACGACGAGTCGAAACGGGATACTCGACTAGTCGAAACCGACATTTGACTAGTCGAGTGGAGACTCGGAGACATATGAGGTGTGATATCCGCCAAAATTCATATATTCAATTATGCAATTGGAAATTGCATCATGAAGTTCAGTTATGCTATTATGATATTCGATATTATGTTATTCGAATTTCATTCGGCGTGAAACAGTCATTATTGAAATTTCATTCGGCGTGAAACAGTCATTCGGCATGGCACTCAGAAACCAAAATTCGACTTCCGGTTCGGCATGGCACTCAGAAACCAAAACTCGACTTCCGGTTTAGCGGGAAATTGTAATTCCACCATGACCGAAGGCGAAGTCAACAAGACAGAAATATAAGTGTTGTAGACGTATTGGAAACAACTGTGTTGAGGAACTTAGACATCGGCGACCACTATGCCCATTACGGCGCACAAAGATTTCTAAAATTCCCCAACACTCTTTCTGGATTTGATGTATTGACGGCAGTGCTTGCCAGATGATGTACGTAGTAGCATGCGATTCGCTTTGAGAAATTACATTTGGACTCGCAACTTGTGCTGAAGAAGCATCATTTGATGATCCAGGATATTTCCTGATCAATCCTGTAACTTCTTGCAACGCTGTTGACTTAATTTGCCTTCGCCTTCGCCATGTTGAAATTGCAACTCCCCGCGTGCTTTTCCCGCTAAATCGGAAGTCGAGTTTTGGTTTCTGAGTGCCATGCCGAATGACTATTTCAATAATGACTGTTTCACGCCGAATGAAATTTCAACAAGACGCTCTATTGAGCGTTAGTCGCTGGGGCTATTGCATATTACGCTGCATGTGATTGAGATTAAGACTGCTATTTGTTTGTTAAGGGGGTCTTCCACCCTAAACACATTTTTTTCAAATTAAAGGTTTTATCATCACATTTGAGTCAAATATGATAGAATATCCTCAGCTGACACAGGATCAGTAACTTTTACATTCGTCGTTGCCATAGTAACTAAGATAGGCCTCGCTATTGGGTAAAATATAGGGCTTGCTCCAAAAATGATGTGAGCCAAACTAATTTACCAAGGATTTTAGAAACAGCTTTAATGGACACTTAATATATCGATCTATGTCATGAACCTAAAAAAATATACAAGTAATATAATAAGGCCTTCATATTTTACTTTTTTAAAGATATATGAAGAAAGGAGTTCTTATAAGGCTACTCTTGCAATGTATATTGCTGATATATGAAGTTTTTTAGGTCCATGACATGGCTATGTAACAAGCAAATAAACTCTGAAAATTTCGAACGAATTGATTCAGTATGAACAGTAGGAGAGTTTTTAGTATTTCGCAAAATGCTCATGTGAGACAAGCGATTTTAAAGTTTTTGCATATATTAGAATAACTTAGTTAGAACAATATAATTGAAAATGGAACAATAGACTAAAGCAATCGCATATCTTTATCGCTCCGGGTAAAATCGTGGTTTTACCCTACGAAGGTGTAGAATTTGCTGGATTTCTCTGGTTTACGGTACATTTTCGTTCTTAAAATTACACGGATTTTATAAAGAACGCTATAAAGAATACATTTTTACGTTTTTCTAAAAAATAACAAATATTGGAAAATTTGGGTGGAAGACCACCTTAAGTTTATGTGTTCATATAATAAAATTGTTTTTGTCAAAAATGGGATTCAAGGAAAAATTAAAACAAAGTTCATCAAACAAGTCCCCGGACTATAGACAATAAACAAATTTGTCTAAGTTTGGTTATATCCAATTCACAACTTTACATAAGTCCCATGCCTTAAGGCTGCATTCCAGTTACGCATTTTTCATATGTGCGTACACGCACGTAAAAGTTGAATTCGCTTTACATCCTACTTATGAAATAACCAAATTTATAAAATGACAGCATTCAGTTTTGTGTATGATTTAATGTATATTTGTTAAGGTTATTTGCACTTATATGAAATTTTAAGCAAATTCAACTTTTACGTGCGTGTACGCACGTATGAAAAACGCGTAACTGGAATGCAGCCTTAAGTATCATTGTTCTGGTGTACTGAAGCATAGAGTAGAGCAAAGATAACTAAGCTTTAGAATTATCTAGCTACATGAATGAATGAATGAATGAATGAATGACTTTTATAGTGTATAGGGCTTATCAAATGCTTAGTTACCTCTGTTCTATTCTATGTGTGAACTACTGTAGAACACTAACTAGGCATGAATATTTAAAATTGTGAATTGCATAGCAACAATGTAACTAACTTTGCCAAATTTATCTATTATACAAATTAATATGTTCTGTGTGTTTGAATTGTACAATACCTATTGTGAGATAACAGCTGTCCTGAGAGCTTTTAAAATATAATTTGCCAGCAAGGCAAGAAGTTCTATTAAACCCTTGTCCCATTAAGCAGATTCTATTTACATCCAAATAAACAGCAACTTGCGAATATTATTGTTGCAATTTACGAAGTTCCAACTTTGTGAAAATTGTGAACTTTTGTCGTCTATTTCAGGCTTCCAGCCTTCCAAGTTTACTCATATAAGATGACTTTCGGTTTATAGAGTCTGGCTGATGGGAAAACTATTAAGTTTCATCGAAAAAATGAAGAAAATATGCACAAAATCGATGAAATTATTTCCAAATACGCTCCCAAATAGGCGGCCATCTTGAATCCAGCGACTGAAAGTAATGACGTAATGTTTGACAAAAAAATGACGTAGGTCATTTTGTGACCAACAATCCGCGATGAAGCCGAAACCTATAGTCGCTGGAGGCACAGAGTGCCCCAGCGACTAATAATGACTGTTTCATGCCGAATGAAATTCGAATATCATAATATCGAATATCATAATAGCATAACTGAACTTCATAAATGCATTTCCAATGGCATAATTGAATATATGAATTTTGGCGGATATCACACCTCATAGAGACACGACACGACGTCGACGAGTCGAATAATTTGTCCACGGTTTCACTTCATAGCTGAATCAAAGTTTATCTATTTATTTAGACCTAACCAAGAGCAGCTGCGAAAAATGCAACTGTAGGCTCTGGTTAGGTCTAAATAAATTAATGAAATTTACACTCGAAATTTCCATCTGCACAAAACCCTTCAACACTGGTTCAATCGAATGAGATGCCTAACTGACAGAATCGACATTGGCCAACATGAAGGCTGAGTGATGTGCAATTTAGATGACCATACATTGGCTAATATTCGTCTTTAGGATAGTAAGCTGGATTCTAAAGTAACATATAATAAATCATGCCCATTTAATATATACTTTTCATCAACCTTAGTTTTTCTAGTAGCCCGCTAGTTCTAGTTACAGAATACACGCAGATACCGTAAACTAGAACATTAAAACAGTAAACGTAAAATAAATATAACTTAGCTACGGAGTTCCTTTCAGCGAAGATTCTTTGCAAACTAAACTATCGATACCGGCAGCGCAGCACCACAGTATATTTAATATTGAAATAAGTGATATACAAATCCAGTATTAATCGTACTTTGATTATTGTTGCTAGAGGACTGATTGATTTGAACTGTTTGAATTGACGTGTTCTGTTGTTGAATCGTCTCGAAGCAAAACTCAAATGTAATCAACTCAATAGTATACTTATTAATATACAGTGGTTTAACTAGTGAATGTTCTATACAAGAGACCTTTACACGTGTATTCTTCGGCCGTTCAAGGCACGTGCCGTTTACACGTGTAAAGGACTCGTTTGTGATTATAATTAATAAAGCCGGCTGCAGTGTGTTGAGCCTCTATGTTGTTGAATAAATAAACTAGTTTGTTTTGACACTTTAATAGAACTGCATAATGCATGCTAATTATTTAATATTTAATTAGGTTAATATTGGTCACGTGTTGTTTGTTTTAATCATGATCGAAAGTCGAGGACAAAAGGAAACAACAACTATTTTGACAGCCAAATAATACGATAAAAATGTATTAAAACTTGTACGAAATAAACCTTAGAACATTGTCCGTGTCATTGTGTTGCGAAGAGTTCACAACAGTCAAAATAGTTTGATTAATAGAGCGAAATGGGAAGTTATTTTGGGCGAAATATGCCAGATCAATAACAATTCCGAACGCGTTCGAGTAGTGACACGCTAGAAAACAAAGACATCGAGTGTTAAAGATCGCATCAACGATGGTTAAAATTGAAGAGTTAAATCGGAAGAGAAGTTCGGCGAAGAAAAAGTTCGACGACGAGGTAAAAAGCTTCGAATTTGTGCTAGAAGCTCGCCCGGAAATACATAGTCTTGAAGAGGCTTTTGGCGAAGTCAAGGTAAAATATAAAGCTGTAAGAGAAATACATGATGGAATTACTGACTTAATGGTCGAAGCTGACATTGAGGAAGCCGATTTTACAAACCATGATATTTTTATTACGGAAATCATTGCAAAATATGGCGATTTACTCTCAAAGTTAGAACAATATCGACGAAAATGTGAAGTAGATCAAACATCAAAGGGACTACTAGTCCAGTCCCAGACCCTATTCTCGCCACACGGCGCGGCGGAGAAGGAGGGTCCAGAAGAATTTGCATGCGCATGCGTCAACTTGTCCAATCAAAACGGTTGCGATTGACTTCCGGGAGAAGGGAAAACCCTTACACCTGTTAAACGCGCGCGCAAAACGTAAACAACTCAGAGAAATAAAAAATGTCAGGTGAAGTTCGATGTCGAATATGCAATGGAGTCTGTCCGCCCGCTAGGAGATATGTACTTGACAATGCAGAAAATGATTATACATCAACAGCGATGCTGTTTTTCAAGGCATATGGTCTGTCTATTAGACGAGACAAGCCTGGATTGTCTCGCCATTGTTGTCGAAATTGCCGAAATAATGCGAATAGGGCCGTCGAGAAAATTAAAAGTTATAAGGAAAATATTAGTCCTCGAGGGAAAAGAAAAACAATACCATCCTCGCCAAATTCGATTAGATCTCCACCATCGAAAACATCGAGACCTAACGAAAGAAATTGTAGATTTTCAGCCAGATCATTGCAGTTTTCCAACGACAAAGCACAGGTACGACGACGTTATTTAAATTTTATTATAAAAAGACCAGTCTTTTGCCGAAGAAATATGCAACTATGTATATACTAACTGAAATCGGTGTTTACTAAATATTGCTGGTATGATATCCCAATATTGTCCGAGTGAGACTGTTTAAAAATACTTTATTTGTTATGTCTGTTATAGCTAGAAAGTTAAACTTGTCAAATTACACGTACGATAATTGCAATTTTGCATCGCTGTAACAAATAAGAGTTATTGTGACAAATATTGTATTGTGACAAAAGATAGGGTAATTAAATAAATTTCTATTTGATACGCAAAAATAGACAAGCTTTCTTTTACTGCAAACACCTTAATTTTATATAAATATAATGTGGTCGTCATAAAGTGCTTTACTCCTGGTCTTGCAGCCTTGGGTGTGTTAATTATTGTAATTTTTGCACTAATATTTTAACACAAAATTAGGACGAATAATCCATAAACTTATTACAGACAATTCACGCCATTAAACCAAAAATATGAAGAAGTAGTATACATTGTAGAGGAGATAACCGAACGTATTTACTGTGTAGTTTCATCATCTTGTGTTTCTTTATATGACTTCGAGGGTGTAATTATCTAAATGTTTGTTATCATGTTCATTTAGCCATCCCATTCTAATGCAGCAAACACGACATCAAGTGTGAGCACGACGACATATCTTTCCTCACCCTGTCAAACATTTACTACAGTTTAAAATAAATCAAGTGAGTTCAGAGTAGGTTACTGTATAAAGTTACTTATTTGCAAGGCTAATTATATAACGTGATGAACCAAAGTGTAAAAAAATTTTGCCCTATCCAATCGTTGGTTATCTCGCCACATTTTCAATAATTTCAATAATCCTTTAAAACTTAGTATAAACATATGACAATTAGCCAAATTCTCTTGCAATAGAATGAGGCTCTGTAGTCAAGGGAAAGCACTTTGGCTAATTTATTTATTAAATTATTAAAATATCTAGCATAGACCTACCATTGTAGTACACAATGTGCCTCATCAATTGCCACACAAACAATATGCTCTTTCAGTTCCCTCAGAGTCTCCCTTACAGTCAAACTGGTAAATGCCTAAGGGGATAACAAAGCGATTTTGATGTTCGATTTTCCACGTCGAAGGTCCTCAACTTGTCGGTCTTTAAGATCGGTGAGCTTGACGCTATGTATTCCTCGTTCGGCCATTTTAGCCATCTGATCATCCATGAGGGAAATTAGTGGTGAAATCAAAACGACGATAGATGAACGGCAATCGTTGTTTGGTGACGATCGCAGAGCATCGCAAACATATGGAAAGAGCGTGTAAATCAGCGACTTTTCGAAACCAGTTCTCAGATGAACGAATACATCTTTACCGCGAGACAGGTAATAGATCGCTTGCAATTGCTCAAACTTCGGCAAAAAATTATATTTACACATTTCCATGGCAAACTTAACGGCTTCAACAAATTCTCTGCCAAAAATAGAAGAAACTTGTTCTCAATCAGCGCTGCAAGAGTATCAGAACTTTCCTTTGACATTGCGGATTTTCCCCACAGTAAACAGAGCTTAGCGACCTGGCGACCTCCACATATGTGTGGTGGTAGTTGACGCATGCGCATGCAAATTCTTCTGGACCCTCCTTCTCCGCCGCGCCGTGTGGCGAGAATAGGGTCTGGGACTGGACTAAGGGACTACCGACTGAAATGGAACCCAAACAACAGAGGTCTAATCTGGAGAGAATCAAGGTACCACAATTTTCTGGAAACATTAAAAATTATCGAACATGGAAAAGAATTTTCGAGGACACTATGAAGAGAAATTATGAAAATGAAGGAAGTCAACTTGCAAGATTGATTGAAGCTATCCAACCCCCCCCCCCCCTGAGATATGAAATTGAATGTTTTACTACAACTAAAGCGATATGGGAATTTCTCGACAAGTTATTTGGAGACGACAAAGAGTTGATTAAAATTTTGATGAATGATATCAAAACAATGAAACCCTTGAAGGTCAAAGATGCAAAGTCGATTCGGAATTTGGTCGCAACAGTTCGTGGGTTTATTCTCAGAATGGAAGATGTTGGAGCATCTGACGAAGCCAAAAGTAGATATATGTTTGCTGATATTCTGGCGAAATTGACGGTAGAAGATCAAAGAGCTTACGCACGGAGTATGATTGATACAAAGAAGATTGAAAGCCTGCATACCTTGTTGGAATACCTAGAAGAAGAGGCAAAAATAATGGCAAGTAGTCAATCGGATCAACGCTCTTCAAAAATTGAGATTTATCCAGTTAATGTGGACGGTGGTTACAATGGTGCCCCTGGTTGTGGTTTGGGTTGTTCCCAACAACATGGTTTAGGTTATTGTCCAGCATTTAAGAAGATGAAAGTGAAGGAAAAGTGGGAAGTGGTGATTCAGTCCAAGAGATGTAAAAAATGTCTGCGAACTGGACACCGACACCAACAGTGTTCGCGAAAGGCATGTGATATCAAAAGTTGTGGAAGACCACATCATTACCTATTGCATAAAGATCCAAAACAAGTGGACAATGGCAATCTGAACCCTGATGCACAACCATTCCAACCAGATCAGGAGGAAGCTACAGGCACGGGAAAGTCCAATCAGATTGGTGCTATTTCAGCTGGTAATGCAGGAACTGCAAATGTACCAACTCAAAAGGTCAAAGTGCACAGTGCCAATGGGAACTCTATTGAGGGACTTGCCATGGTTGATAGTGGTTCTAATAAGAGTCTCATTCGAAAAAAGTTTGCGGACAAGCTCGGTTTGGTCGGAGAATCAAAAAAGATGAAGATGTATGTTGCAGGCGGTGGAATTAGAGTTAAAGATTCTGCTGAGTTTGATTTAAAGATATCGCCCTGTTATGATGAAGATATTGTATTCAATGTGAGAGCTTATTCAGTCAAGCAACCGTGCTAAGCAGCCAAAACTATTTCAAAGAAAGCGGTAGTCAGATTTCCTCACCTTGTTCGAATTGTAGAAGATCTACATTTAAATGGCGGTCCAGTGCACATTCTATTGGGAACAGATCTACCGGAAGCCCATCGTGATTTTAAAGTTCTGGCGGGTAACCCTGGTGAACCGATTGCAAAGAAGAACATCTTTGGTTGGTCAGTTCTTGGTAATCTTGAAGAGAATAGTACACCTGGAATTTTTGCTGTCGAAACCATTGGCGACATAACAAAGGACCAGGACATAAAGAAATTAACTTTCCAAGATCAATTAAGAATCAAACCAACTGGTTACTGTATATGCTCTGAGAAAGAAATGCGAGAATGTGCATTCATTCGACATGTTCGGGAGTCTACTAGAGTTTTGGATGATTGTAGAATTGAAGTAAGAATGCCTTGGAAACCAGAACATACCAATCTACCTAACAACCGGTCTGTCGCGTTCGAACGAATGGTGTCGAAAGAAAGGCAGCTGGTAAAGAAAGGAAAGTTGGAGGCGTTTAACAAGGAAGTAAAAGCTTTGGTTGACAGAGAAGTGGTCATTAAGCTGAAACAAGAGAAGGTAAACCCAGAGGAGCTGGCTTGGTCTCTACCGATTGGAGAAGTGGAAAGTCGGGCGGCCATAGG